GCTGCCCTCTTTTACAGACTCTTTAGGGTGACACAACATACATGGTACTAAAAAGTAACCACAGTCAAGCACCAAAAAGAGTTCAGCTGCCTGTCCCAACACTCCCACTCCAGGTGTTTTAAGTTACACTACTATTAAGCAGCTTTGACAGAGAGGTGCTGAATTATTACTTCCCATCTCATTGGAGAGAGGGAGGAGGCTGCAAGACTTTGTGCCAACATGTAGGAACACAAATGACCTAAAATTTGGGCATTAAAACAAGGTCAAACCCTTAGGTAATGTGCCACAACTACAAGAATTTTAATGCAGATTTCAATAAACATGCCTTTCATTACCCCTGACTTGATGCCTCAATCCCAGAGGATTCATAGTTCCCTATGAACATTTCTCTTAAGGCATTTCAAAAGAAAACAAAACTTCCGACACCTCCTATCCTTGTTCACCCCCATCATGTCTGTTCCCTCCTCCAAGTTCCTTTCCTATGAGTTGATTTCCACTCTGGGCACCCATCCTTGTGCCTGTATTCACTCAGCACTCATCTGCTAACCCAAGCCAGGCTTTTGCCTCCCATTCTGCTCTTGGTTTCTGCTGGCAGCCTCAGGTTGCTGCCCACCCACTTGGGGGACATCCAATGATGCAGTGGATACATTACCCAATAGTACAAAAAACACAGTATCTTGTCTTTAGTGCTTTAAACATGCTTTCCCTTTTTTTGCAACACCACCTTTCAGGTGTTTCTCACGATGAAGAGTGACACAGCTTTCAGAATCAAAACAGACAGAATAATTAGTTATTGGAAATTCAAGAACTAAACCTGTATATAATGAATAAATTCCCCCACTGGAACAATGTGCTCGGTACAGATTCCCATTTCAACACATGGCCTTGTTATTTACATCTAAAGCACTTCGTTTTCTGATGTTACAATACTTGCATCTTCATAAAGGCAGTGTGGGCTCTGTGACACCCAGAAACTCACCCTGTGCTACTGCTTCATGGCCAGGTGAAATACAGGAACTTGCCAATGACACCCCTCCATCTCTCCATCTCTTCTCTCTGTGTATTTTGATAAGACTCCTTTAGCATGGAATTAAATGAATACCAGGAATATTCATCAGCCTAACGAGCCTGTTCTTCCTCAGGAAACCACACCACCTGAGCTGCATATATCTTTTACTCAGAGCAAAACAGGCACATTTTCATAGTGTAACAATTTTTTTTTATTTCAGTTACTTTTTCACATAAAACTTTATGTAAGCTACAAAAATTGTGAAATGCAGAAATGGTATTAAAACTGAAAACGTAGAAGTTTAGATAAAAAAAAAATCAGTCTTTCCCTGCTAACAATGAGCATTTAAAATGAACCATATTTTGATGGATTCATTTAATAAACATACCATACACTTCTCAAAAATAAATAAAGAACAACATCAGAAAAACCAATACTATCAACAACATGAAGCATTTAATAATCTTTTTTCTTTTCTTTGAAAGACATAAATGAAATTTCTAGGCACAGTTTTAGGCATTATAGAGGACACAGAGGCAATAGGTTAGTGTGCACTGCGCTGTACAAAAATACAGTCTGAATAAATTACATTGCTAGCCATAAGATTAGACTTCACTTACCAGTCAGTTCATTGCATGTTTAATAATATACAGTTACATGCTAATCCATATATATCATTTATATTTCAAACACATATGTCTCTCTATATTTGTTTTTAAAATTTACAAAAGCTAAACGAAGTTGTGCAAGAAATCCAGAAGAGGTGCTGGGTATTTGTCAGCACCGGACGGTATATTTTAAGCTTAAAAAATACAAATAACTAGCCCTGCTTGCAAGTTTGCTATATATATATTTATTAATATATATTTGAAAGAAAAAAATGGATTTGTTGTGGGAGAGAATCATTCTGCTAGTGAGATAAAGTCAAACAACTGAAATAATGGTGACATGACACAAGCACAACATACAAAATTATTAATTTGTCATACATACACTCAGGACACAGACTTGCATCTTTTTTTTGTGGCTAAAAAAACCCCAAGAATCAGCACAAAGTTGCATTTACCTTTAGTTCTGTTCTGAGAAACAGAATGCTTGCCAAAATTTGCAATGGTAAAGAGGAAAAAAAAAAGACACTGCAGTAGCAACTTAAGCTAAAGGTAGGTATCTAAATCCACATACTAGATGCCCGAACACAATGGTCCTGAGGAGTCTGAGGTGGGTCCTGGTAGGCTGCATCACCTTCAAGAGGAAAAGCAGATATTGGGACTGAAAATCAGATCTCTGACTCAACTGTGAATCAAGAACCCTGTCTTTAGGCATTCACGTTTGTAAATTGTTATGCCTGAACACCTTTCACATTAACAACCAGTTACTTGCAGAGCACACACCATTCATTTGCACCTGCCTTAGGCCTGGCAGCTGCTTTCACTCAAACTCTACATAAAGAAAAACAATTTGATAAATTAGTGGCTACGATGTGGGTTGAGCATTGTACCTTCTTGTCAGCACAGACAAAGTGCCACAATGCCGGCCCCAAAACACCATCTCCTTAGAAAGGTACAGACATCTTCTCACAGTGGGCTTCTCTGCACTAATCTAATTCCTATGCCAAACTACAATGTTCTCCATGCTGCAAAATAAAAGCAGAACTGCACAGCTGTTCAGAAAGATACTGAGTGAACTATACACTGAATATCCGCCTTAAGTCAGGAAATAAAGCAGAGTTACAAATGCTCTCTTGGTGCCTGTGAAGTAACTGGGTCCAAGTTTTCCTCCCATCCCTTTTGTTCTCCGGGCATTGCCATGCAGTCCCTTCCATGTCAAGCTGTCATTTTGCTCCATCTAATCTAATTAATCACTGCTGGTTCTGCAAAGACTGCCGATTCAGAATATTCTGCCACGGTAGTAAAGATTGAACTCCAGAGTGTGCCAGAGTTTTACAAACCATCTCCACAAGCCAGCAATACTTGCACAGTGACCTCCTAAAGGCAGCCCTGTGGCCATTGCAGACCCTCAGCTCCCTGGAGATGGTGGCCCAGCAGAAACACAAGAGATGCCATCTTAATACCCAGTAATTCAGGAGCCTTTTCCATGGGAGCAGCAACACCATTTGTGTAGAGTTGGATGTGCAACCCCAGCATATCTGCTTCTGTAGAGGTGCGCACAGAATATATTTTAAATTTCTCCATTAAAAAAGATAGTTATTTCTGAGGATTACAATTGTATAAAAATATGTTTATAATTAATTGAAAATATCCAAATAAGCAAATTGTAAACAAAAATAAACGTGATGCGGATTAAATTCATGTGAAGGTTCTCCCTATTTTATCTTGGGTTTCATTTTGTGAGTACAGTCTCTGGATGTTTTAAGTGGGAAACATACTAAGCAAAGAGTAATCAGATGTACATAATCACCAAAAAGTCCATTAGAAAGTCAGTTTTTAAAAACAAGAGATTACCTCCTGAAGTGCTAATGTTTTAATATGGATATGATGGGGTCTCATCTGTATTCTTGATGATCAGGGACACTAATAACCTAACCAGATTTTTTAAAAACGGCAGTTTTTTAATTTGCAACACCCTTAGAAAAGAATTTTTAGCAAGTATTATATTACACATGGAATAGCAAGAAGTTATTTTTGTCCAGTTCTACCTTAACTTAATATGAACTTTTAAGCATTTCCCTTAACACAGAGTCTGTACCAGGGCATATACAGAAGACAAACCATTGTGTGTTTATTTTGTAACACCAATCAAAATTGGGGGTACCAATCCAAGACTTTCAAGAATGTGTACAAAGTTTGTATTTTAACCACTGCATCACAGCTCCTATTACAATTTTAGGATGAATAATTTCTCTCCCTCTGCATATATATTTGTATTATATCTATTAATTTATAATAACAAATACCTTTCAAAAATATAACTGAACTTGTACCATATGCATTCTCTTCATGACAATGTTTGCAAGTTAAATGGGTACTCAGGACAACTGCAATTCATTCATACATTTTAGATGTCTCAGGGACAGAACAGGTATTTTTCTATTCCCCTTTATCTTCACCCCTCCAGCAAAACACTGAGAGATGAGACAACTTCCAACTACACAGTCAGAAGCACATGTCTCTGGGTTTGGACTTCCTTCAACAATCTGCTACAGCTGGCACGGTGATGTCGATTACTAATTCATGAAATCCTGTGTGGGTTGGTGGCTTGTTTGGGTTTTTCTTTTTTTTTTTTTAATTATTCTACCAGCAGACTGTTGAATGCAGATATTAGACAAGTCATTAACCAGTTACATTCACTGCCCTCAACACAGTCCCTTGCAACTAATTCCTTAAAAGCGCTTTTGAGCAAGTAACAAGGGGCCAACTCAGCCTATTGTACAAGATGCCATTGCCTGCTTATCAGACATCTGAATCCTCTATGATACAGGGAAACTTCTAAATGGAGCCCATACCAGCTGCTCCCCTGAAGGCAATAGCAGATGCTGGCATTGCATTCTCATTCCAACTAGTTTTCTCACAATGATCGCTGTCACGTAGATCCTTTTGCTTGTTGTCAGGAAAAATGCAGTTTATGTATCAGCAGCTTGCAGCATCTGCCTATGTAAGATCAGCAATCCTAGTGTTTGCAGTTCTTCTAAATGGTTGTAAAAGCTGGTTACAGTGTTCACACCCAAAAGGCAAAGGCTATTTTATCAACAGAGCAGACTGTTTGGTGCTCCACAAGTGTTCTAAAAAAACTGTGAGCTAGAAAAGATGGGGTAATCCTTTTTTTATTTTTCTTTTCATTAAATGATTCTAGTAATAGTCTTCATAGTTCTTAGGGTTCAGGCAATAAAGAATGGCACCCCCAAATGAAAATATAGTTGCACCCCATGCCAGGCCATAGCCCCAGTTGAATTCATGGTATATTTTCAAGCTGACCGTTTCAATGAACTTGATTGGGTAAAGGACTAAGCTGCAGACCTGGAGAACAACTGAAAGAGAAAAAAAAAAATACAAATGTCAGAAGAAGCCTTATTTTGCTTCCCTAGAACAAAGAAAATATCAAATAACAGAAATTCACATTTAAAATGTTTTTGGTGATTTTTAGCTTGTAAGTGCTGCTCTTTTTAAATCACCTTCATTTCATTCACAGAGAACAGAGCAGCTCTTCCATACTTCCTCGTTGATGAGCAAATACTATTGCTGTGATATAATGATGATCCTTAAAATGTTCACAAAATAAACAGTTAGAGTAGTGTTTCCCAAATTCTTTTGTCTCTCCTTTATATTTATTAGTTTGCAGTCATTACTCCCTCCATAACAGCAAAATTTGTTCTACTGCCATTATAAATAAGTCAAAACCAGAAGCGAGAATACATATTAAGAAATGTTGCTGAGAATCAAATAATTTACTTAGCCTAGAAATAATTCATTGTCATAGGTGATATATACTTGTGCTCAGTAGAGACTCAGTGAATCACATATTTCATATTCATTACTGTGTTCTGTAAGCAGAATTAATGACATTCTTGCACAGAATACCAAGAAAACTATAAAATTTGATCAGTCACTAAACTTTAAACTGGCAAACTATTATGAATTTAGGGGGTGGTTCAGAAATACTGTGTGATGAAAGAAGATAATAAAATAGGTCAAATCCAAGATATTAAAAGGCTTAAAAATCATTATTTCCTATAGCACTGAGGTCCACAGACACATATTGGCCATTTCACTCACACACACCCCCTTGCCCAACTGGCCCCTTTCATTGGCCCTGAAGACAAATGCTCACCTGTCCTGAGGACATGACTGGTATGGGGAGATCATATCCCATGTTCATCAGAACCTCAGTGATAAAATTCTAAGACACTCACTGGAAATTTCAGCTCATCCACCTTAGCCTAGAGAGTAGTCTTTGGACCCTTACTTGAGACTGACAATCTGAATAATGTTTGCACAGTGGATTTTCTGATGTGGATATCAAAATCCACAGGACTTTTTAAAAATTCTACAGTTACTTTGATATTATTCCATTTGAATATAATTTTTTGTCTTTCAGCTCACAAAATACTGTGCAACATTTGAGAAACTCTGGGAGGGTACACTGGGAAAAGCACCTACTCTTATGAAAAGATTATGCATTCCAGTTCTGTATAATGAGAGCATCTTTACATCCAAAAGCACCTCAACATATGCTCAACTTTCAGAAACATCTTTAACACCATTCAAGGTCAAAAAGAATTTCTGAAAATGTATAGAAATATATGAGTTTTTCTTCAGTGCCTTCCTGAACTGGGAATGCAGCATCTCTGCTGAGTCAATGCAGAAACTGCTCCATGTGTGTCTGTGTCAAGTGCAAACCAAGGAAGTCTCCACCTTCCCCAGTGTAACATATGAAGTATGCTTAATTTCAGTCTACAGATTGGACTTGTCAAAACACAACCAAAAAAAAAAGTGATTCTCTTGGAAGAGGAACATGTTGCTAAAGCAGCAACACAAACAAGAGGGTTTTTTGACATTTCCATAGTGAGGGTTCCAGCTTTTCCTACTATTGATCCAGATACGCTATTGTAGATCTCAGAGCAAGTGCTGGCAGCAAGTGGCTGGTGGGAGCAGCCACCCTACACAGCACTGTCATCACTTTGCACTGATTTTGCCTTCTGTCATTGTTTTTCCCTGTAGAGCAGGAAGGGAGCTGTGTAAGCTGGAGACAGCAGTCAGCAAAGTTATGAGAAATGACCAGCATGACCCCAGAAGATGCTGAAAGCCATGCCTGCAAATACTGATCTGTTTCTAATGAATTTAAAGGAACTCCATGCTATGCTGACCTTCTTAAGGGAGCTGTGTACTATTCTTCTTCAGAAGCACAAGTCTTTTCCTGTAGAAAAAACAGGCTGCAAAGGAAATCTTAAAGAAATCTGCTACTCAAATGCTGTTCAGCAAAGACTAATAGTCTCAGATTTGATTGTTCACTTCAAATGTAGGCATGTTTTTATGAAGCACTATGATGTTTGCAGTATGGGAACAGGAATACTAGTTTTATTCCATTCACATGAAATATAAGCAATTATACATACTCATCATAATAAACATTAAGAAATAATAAGAAATGCTTTAAAAGTAGGAAAATATAATTTCAGTCATCTTTTTTTTTTCTTTGTACAAATGTCTGATGATAAGTTTTGATGTCAAAAGAAACCCCAGTTATGGATGTGGCTTTCTAATTGATTTGTAATTATGAAAATGCTGGTGCTGGCTAGTAAGTTTTGTACTTCTGTTCTCTACCTCCTGCCCATTTCAAATGAGTAAAGCACTTCATTAGTAAGTGCTGGGTATTTAAAAGATTACCTGAAAATGTAGCTGCAACAATGATAGGAAAAACAAACAAACAAAAAAATTCCTCTATGCAGTGCAAGCAAGCTGGCAGTAATGAGTGGACACTAATCTCAGAGAGTAAGGATGGACATCAACAAAGTAAACCATCGTAAGGAGGGCAGTAAGGGCCCAGGACAACATGCTCAGAAAGGCTACAACATCTTGAATTTGTTCAAAACTGGACCAGAAAAAGCTGTCACTCTTAGTGACCATCCTGCATCAACAAGGAGATTGGAGCACATGACCTATAGAGTATTTTCCCCAACAGTATTTCTTTGATATTATGACTCTTTGTTGCCCTGTAGCAACCTGCACTACATTCTACTGAAGTCAGTCCTACTTTTCAGACCATTCCATCAACTTTACAGAATCAAATTCTGGCTGTCAATGTTTCTGCAATTTTTTCTACTTCTACTGTAAAATGTGACAAGTAAACTTTCATTGTATCTTCCACATCATTATGAAAATAGGTAATACCACAGAACTAAGGATGTAATCCAGCTGGACTGTGCTCTCTCTATCAGAATTAAAAGATACCTCCTTAAGTATTCTCCAGTTATTATCTGCCACCATTTTATATTACTCTTTTACCTGTAATATTTTCACTTAGCCACTGTTTCCCCTATTTTTCATGTAAAAGCATCTTATGAAATGCATTAAAAGCTTGCTAATGTCAACAGGATATTCTTCCAAACACTTGTTAAAACAGCACCAAAAGGCAAGCATCTTTAATTTTTCTTTTGTTTCTTTTATGGACTTTCAGCAAGAACACTTTCTCTTTCTGCCCCTTAATTAGACTAGGTTAGCATTTAGTTAAACAGTAAGTGTATCATGAAACTCCTGCACTGATAAGTTTGTGAGCCTGCACTTTGAGGGTGCAGTTTTTAGGGCCAGTTTGGTTCATGAGCTCTAAGACACCCCAGCAGGTCCATGAACTGGAGACCTCCACTAGACTACAGAGGCACACGAGCCAAGGTGGGTCCATGCAAGATTTCCTGCAACTGCCTCCCTGTCTGCTCCATTTTTCCACTACCTGAGGTATTCCTCTAACTCTCAGCATTAAAATACATACTGTCAGCTGTGTGAAAACACATTCACATCTTTTCATTACTTGCTGGCTTATTCTCAGCATCTAGGTTGAATTTTGGGTTTTTTTGGTCCCTTTCTTTCTCATCTCTTCCAGTCACAGTCAATCTTCTCCCTCACCTACAAAGTTGCTAACTGAAACCTGAAGCTGAGGGGAAAAAAAAAATCAAAACTTGAAGGAAAAAAAATAGCCTGGAGCCAACTGTTTAGACGCTTATAAAGCACCTGGAAATAACTTTTCCATTTTGTCCTTTCTTCCACACAGAGACCTTTTCTACCCAACACCCACACATCATTAAATGTCTCTGGGCAATTCATACTGTGCCCTTTTTCCAGAAGCAGCTGATAGACTGCCAACCAGAGTTACACAGAATATTTGGTCTTGCCAGCACATTCACAGGTCAGGGTGGTGTTTATCCTGAAAGATTTGTGAAATCCACAGATGAAGGCTTGAATCCATGGAAAGCTGCATAAGGCATAAACTGCTACAATCGTAACTTTCCCCTCTTCAGTGGAGGATTCTTTCCATAATTCTTTCAAGATATGCTATCCATATTCATCTCTACAAATTGCTGACATCAAAGATAAAATCAGTAGGAAAAGCCTTTTAACAATGTAAGTGTCAAATCCTGAAAGGATTCTCCTCAGATTTGCTAGATAATGAAGAAGAATGGGGCAGGTTGTCTTGGCCTCATCATCTCTCCTCTCATGTACTTCAAGTAAGCATTAAACCCCTTCACCATCAACTTTTTGTAGTAAAGACTAGAAGCAATTTTATGCAAGGAGAGCACAAGAGACAAACAGTAGGATTTGAGGAAATCTTTTCTTGTGGAAAGCCATTTCTTTTTTTAGTACACACTTAACTACTAAATGAGCAGCACAGCAAGACAGGCGTGTATGGCTGAATAATTACTGAGTTACTACATGATGTTATGAGAAATGAAGCCAAAAGCCAAAGAAGAAACCAGTACAAAAATTAAATAACCCCATTTCCTTCAAAGTGAACTGCCCAGCATACCTTACAAACCTCAGAATTAACACTAAATTTTAAAACAATGGCACCTTTATTCATTTAACCAGGCAAGTAATGCAACACATGGAATAAAACCAGACGATTTCCACTCAGGGAATCTGATCCTAGGTTGCTTTAATTTCCTAAAAGCAAATGCAATGCAATCTAGGAATATGTCTTGAGCACATAAAAGTGCATCTTGAAGGGCTCGGTTCCATCAAGGTAATCAGCAGGGGGCAGCAGGAGCCTTCCCGGAGTTGTGCTTCATCCCAAACTCCCTCCAATTCCACACTCTCATCCTCTCATATCCTCCTAAGTGGCTTTTTTTAATACATCCCAAAGGTTCTGTCATCCTCTTCATTATGGACTATCAGAGGGGCTTAAGCTGCTGGCTCCAATGCAGATGTGAGTGACAGGATGAAGGCAAACCATGGTTGGCGAGTCTCAGGAGAATCTGAAACATCCATGCTGACAAAGCCCCAAAGCACCAGAATATATAAAAGGAGATGATTTGATATTGTAATTGTACCTCACTGGACCAGTCTTACAGACAATTCAGATTCTTAGGTCTCCCTTAAGATTTTCTGATAGTTTATATAAACTGTTCCATTTTTGTGTTTTTAAAACCAAACAGGGACTACACTGTGACAGCTTGTTAAATTAATAACCAAGCAAGATGACACAACAAAATTAATTCCTTATGGCACAGGGGCATATATAAACACCTTGAAAGATAATCCTATTTATTTTCACATGTAGAGCTTCCAGGGTTCACCTTTGGGTATTAATTTCTCTGTTTTAAAATTGCAAAAGAGAGAACATTAAAATAAAAATGGCTTTGCATGAAGAATAAAAATGGGGACATCAAGCAGCACAAAGTCACAGATTAAAAATGGTATTTTAAGTTTTATCCTCTGAGTTTTATCCTCTGTAGTTTCTCCTGCTGCATGTACTTCATAAAACAATAAATATAATGCAAATAAATAATTGTTTATGAACTAATTATAGTGCAACTGCAAAAATGATTAATGCTATGCAGAACTTACAGCCTGAGAAACCTGACTGGAGTTAAGACAGAAGTAACCAAACACCTCTGAATTAGTATGCAGAACGAGGCATATCTCCCTCCATGAAAGTTCAGCTGCTCTCAGGAAATGTTTTTAATGATGCTGGTGCTTACCTGCAGCAAAGAGCATGACTGCAACTGGTCTGTAGAACCGCCTCCGAGATCCCACGCAGATGGAGATCAGCCCAACCAGGAAAGCTATGAGAATAATGGCAGCACCACCCAGCAGCAGAGCCAGAGTAGCTATCTGCCAGTCTAAGGGAAAAAAGACAAAGAGGGGAAGAAAATAATAATACAATTTCAGTAAAACAAGCCCACAGGCCTGACAGAAACAAGAGAATATGAGGAGCACAGAGGCTGCATCAAGGCTTGAGTAAATAAAGAGCTGTGCCTTGAATTTCTTTTTCCCCTAATTAGTGAATCACCTTCATAAAACAGATGTAACTCAGAAGCAAAGTACCACAACCTCCCACGCTTACTCAAGCCTTAGTTGGCTTCGTTGGGATTTTGTCTCAAGTAAAACTGAGTAATTTGGTCCCCTGGTTTTTATCCAATTTAGAATGAGAAATTGAGACTGGCTCAAAATTAGATGATGTTGTGTTAGCTGCCCCTCAGTCTGCTGTAACTTTCTCACAAAAGAGAGTGAAACTCAAACCTCTGCTTGAGCTGGTCAGGATGACACAGCAAGGGAAATGCACAAAGCCTCATCACACACACCTGTCCCTTGGGAAGTACCAAGGCCACACAGTATGAGTAACAGAACTGAGCAGATGCTCAAAGGTTTAAAAAAAAATATTTTATCAACACTAAAAGATAGCTGGAAGTGAAGAATTTCTAAAGGCAGTAACAATCATTAGCTGCAGTTAATGTTAAACACAGTTAAATCTCAAGCCCATTTTAAAATGTCAGTTATCCTCAAGCAGTTTGTCTTTCCTCAAAAGCAGCCTCTGCATTTGGCCCAGGATATTTTCTAGTTACTCTCATATATAATAGATGCAGTTATAAACAACATATTTGTAGTCTTAAATCACATAAATCAGAATCCATGTAAGCTAATGGCCATAATGCATGGATACAACATCCAAAATCTAACTTAAGAGCTTCTGTGGGACTTTAGAAAGGCACAGGCTTGGGGCTGTCTCTTTTCCCAAAAGAATATCAAAGACCTTTCCTCTCTCCAGTAGCAGGAATCAAGAAAAAGAATCAGAACACTACTTACTGCTTATCACTACTATTTACTAGTTCAAGGAAGATTATATAAATTCAGCTTATGGGAAAAGGACCTATAGATTGTTTGCATCTCACTACTTTGAAAATACTAGCAGTCATGTGATACTCAGGATTAAATGTCCAAACGCATTACAAAGTTCAAAGAAAATAAGATTATTATTTAGAAATTAAATTTAGATATCTTAAGGTTACTAAAACAACAACAACAATGAACATCCTCTTTTGGAAATGAGTAAAAAGCACTGTTTTAAACAAACAATGGATCCAGTTTCAAGAGGAACCTAATCTGCTGAAGATACAGACAGTGCAGCTGTGGAGTTTGGGAATGGAATGCCGGCAGCTATTATCACCAAAAAGCCCTTCACATATTACATGAAAAAGGATGAAGGAGATTAAAAGAAGAAAGTAGGCAGAAGAGCTATAAAAGCATTGCTTGAAAAGAAAGTGATTTTAAAGGTGTTTTTGTGCAAGTACACACATTTATTTTCATTTTTTTTTCAGAAATCCCAGCATGTGCTTTACTAATAATTTAATTACTAAGTACTCAACCTTCCAAGGTATTTTAGTCCTTGTTTTCTTACTGGAGCCTTCAGAAACACCAAGAGGTTAGTGTACTGATGATTTAGAAAGGATTTTTCCAATATCAAGGTGCATTACAGATGTAAAAACCAGAAATAAATAAACAGAATAGATCACTTTGGAACAATATGAAAGGAAGTCTTGCACTAGAAAACTACACAGATACCAAGACCAGCCACATAAATCCATATCACACCAAAGTTAAAAGACACATAAAATTGATGAAATAAATCAAAGGGCCAGACAGGAAAACTCAGAAACTAATTTTTTTTTAAAGTCACCACAAATAATTAAATATTAAATGTAATCTTTGCATTGATCAGGTGCCAAACTCTAATGCAAAGGGAATGTGTATGACACTGGAGTAGCAGCTAAATGGAAAAAAAGAGTAACCATCCTATTGCTTTCCAAAACCACACTGGAAAAATCACAAAAAAACTGATAATAAATTAGGCAAAGATGACATAAGTGTGGAGTTAGAATATAGTTTAACTTCCAGGACAAATATACAGATTTTAGAAAGGTTAAAAAATAAACAAACTACCTTTCTATAGTACTGATGTGGGAAGTAAAAGGACAAATGAGTGTTGGGAGACACCTACACTCCCAACTAAAAAAGAACTGCCTTGGATAAACAAAATTAATTTCTTGAGTAAGACAACCTACTCAGTGATGCTGACAGCAGGACAAAACCAAGACTCTTACTGCTCCTCACTACCAGCTGGGGACCACGTATTGAATGCTGTGCTCTGGGCACATCTGGAATTGCCTGTTTATTTTAGCCCCTTTCACAGGAGCATACAGTGCCACCAGCCTTTGCCTTGAGCTGCAGGGACTTTGGCTGAAGAACATTGTGAAGGTCAGACATCAGTGCACAAAGAATACAGGACTAAACTTTCCTATAGTGGCTACCATAGTAACTACATGTTTAAATCTCCTTGTCATCTTGGAAAAATGTTAACTTTCAATTACGGAAGCCAGTTATCTGGTAACAAAATAAAGCTCATGGTGGATTAAGAAAGCAAAATCTTCTGCATCGGTCTTCTACTTAACAGCATTTATAATTTTTTTTTATTTTTTTTAATCCAGACCATTGGTCTTTACACAAAATAAAGATCCAAGAACCATACCTCTGAAGATAGAGCACCCTGTAAATCTACACAAACACAAATATCTACAATATAAACATATACAGAAAACACAGTTTTTCTACAATAAAGATCTGTAGTGTTCCTCAGACTACCCAAGAGTGATTTGCAGGACACAGCACCAAAATGGGTCAGGAGATTGTTCTGTTACACAGTGCTACTGATACACCAAACATAAACATCATAAACCTATTTTAGAGCATCCAAAATATGCTTGCACCTCTTCCAGGCATGCACCAATCTTGCAAAGAAGTTACTAATAAGACCTGTAAGTTCAGGAGCCTCAGCAGTTCAGTGAGACTGCTTATTCTCACAGAGATAGAAATATGAAAAACAGAAATAAAATGGGGCCTTACAGATGATAATTATTACTCTTCTGCATTCAAAACACAATTGGTTACACTTGAAGAGCACACATCAGTCTTTTTCACAGTCTTTTTCATCAGTCTTTTTCACCACTACAGGTTTTTAAAATACACATCCATTATCTAAGCAAAATATTAGGAACTAGTAAAAAACTAGTAAAACTCACAGGAATGTTAATAAACTTTTGGACTTCAAAAAGCACTGTGACCTAATGTCATGGCCAAATAAGATTTCCTTTATTGCTTTAGATAACTTTAGATTTTTTCATTGCTCCACCATTTTAGCAATACACTAAGTAGTGCCACCGATCCCAACCAAACTAGAATTAAGACATTTTTGACAATTATTAGGTAACTCAAGAGATTTCTTAAGAAAAGCCTCACTTAATGTATCCTATTTTTAGGTCTGAAAATCCCCAAGAAGCATCCCAATGTCTATAACCATGAGAAAGATATACTGCAGTTCTGACAGCGATTACAGTGTTTGCATATTTTTAACTATAACAATCTGCACATTAGTTTAGGGATGTGGGCTTCAGTATTTGGAAATATATATAAATATGAACCTAGGAGAAATATTTTCAATACATATTTGGTGAAAAATGTATTAGAATTACCATCTTCAGTTAAAAAAAAAGCCACCAAACCATGACAATACTGTTTCTTTTCAGTTAATTCCTCATAAAACAGTGCCTTTCTGGGTAACAGCTTGGTCTGCTTGCTATTTGGAAATTCTGCCTGTTTCTTAGTGACCCAGAGGCACAGTGTCAACTGTACATTGACATTTCTAACTCTCGTCCCTTCTTTCCCCAAAAGAAATGACCCAAGGCTTTGAGCTGTAATTTTTAATTAAGAGCAGTGCTATTCCCTCAATTTCTTGGACAAAATAATACTTCACTACTAGGAAAAAATCAGGGAAAGCCATAAAAGAAGAGAACACATCAAAGTCCTGAAATGTCTATTTTAATAACTAGGTTATTTTTTTAATACAAGAAAGATCAATGCAAAAGGCTAGTATAGATGTAATGTTTTCAGTAAGGTACCCCAAAATTAAGTATGTTTTTCAACATGGTATTCTATGAAGTAAATGAAGTAAAGAAGTGGTGGGCATAAAAACATACTGTGGAATATGTGAAGCATTTGTGTATAAGGCTCTTTCAGACAGTGCATGTGAACTGAATTAACTTCTTAAGAAACAATCAAATATTCCTTTCTTCCATACAGTGGTTCTTCACCAAGTCTTCTCCTCATAAACAATGAAGTACCAAAATGCATGCAGCTGTTACATGATGAAGGCAATGCCTGACCTTCTAAACAAAACCAAATCATGGCAAGAAACAAAAACACAACACTCAAGTAAGTTGTTTTGAGTCATTGAATTGCTTCTATTTATCAAGTACCTGCCCTCAGACAATAAATACGAAATTGCAATATAGCATTTAAAATCAAGAATAATGATTTTGAAAGCATATGTGAAGCAGAGAAACTTGAGGCACCCACACATAAGAAATTAAATATAAGCCACTGAGTACCATAAAAATCAACTTAAATAAATAAGATAGAGATATTCTTAACTGCTTCATATTCAAACTTAGATATCAAATAGCCAACACAAGTTTAAGAAGTGTAGTGTATACATAAAAATATAAAGGCAAACTCTAGTTCCTTAAAGTGCTTTGGTTGCATGATCAATGAGATTTCTTCTGTCTTCAGCAGGAGCAGAGGCCTCTGTGGAAGGCAAAGGTCCACTGAATTCTGTGAGAAAGCTGAGGAACAACAGGGGCCATTAAGTTCTCACATGAAATTACTCCACAGAGGTCACCTCTGGAGCTTCAGCCTGAGGCTTTCTAAGAGCTGCTCAGAAGAATTCTGCCCTGGGTGAAGGGGATGTTGGCACAAGCTGGGAAGCCCAGTGCCTGTAAGTTCCTGGATC